AATACATATAATATTCCATTTACTGCAAATTTATATAATCAAAACCTATTTAATTAGAAATATTAATTAATCAATTTAATAATAATCCTAAACATATACAATTAAAGATAAATATATGCTTTCAACAATATTTATAAACTCCTAAAAATATTTTTAAACACTTAAAATTTAATTTAAACACCTAAATTTTATAAACTCCTAAAAATTTAAAAACTTATTAAACTCCTAAAAATTTAATTTAAACACTTAAAATTTATAAATTCCTAAAAATATTTATTTATTTTTAAACACTTAAAATTTAATTTAAACACCTAACTTTTATAAACTCCTAAAAATTTAAAAACTTATTAAACTCCTAAAAATTTAATTTAAACACTAAAAATTTATAAACTCCTAAAAATAAAAAAACTTAAACTCCTAAAATAATTAAACTCATTCATCACAAATTAATAATTAATAATTATTATAAACTAAATAATTAAACCTAACATTTAACTCAAATACAGAAAATATATATATAACCAAAATTCAACAATTTTAACCCAATGCAAATTAATCAAATTCAGAAAATATACTAATTTCAAAAAAAATAAATTCAAGACATACATTTTATCTTGTAACTCCTTCAATCTTCTTGTCCCTTTTTGCAATCTATACTTCTATATTCTCCTTCTCTATTCAAAGAAAAATTGAAAAAAATTATACTCAAATAACACACCAAAAGCTATTAACAAAGTATATAAAACATGAAATTGAAATTACCTTACAAAATGTATGAAGATGGTAGGAATTTTAGTGTGGAAAAGATAATTTTTTGGTGAAGAAAAATGGGTATGGAGAGGGTAGGGAACGTTGAAGAAGAAGAAATGAGAAACAGAAACGTTGTGGAACTTTTTGAGAAGTTACATAAACCAAGTAGCGACGTGAAAATCACGTCGCAACGTTGCCACGTGATTTTCACGTCGCAACAAACTTACAACTGTTTTCTCTTCCTTCAAAACCTGAACACGCCAGTGTTGGAAGTTGTGATTTAATTAATTTTTGTTACATTTTAATTAGCGACGTGAATCCCACGTCGCAACTTTTTTTTACACAAAAAAGTAACTGACACACTTAATGCTTCTGTATTATATTATTAAAACACGTTGCCACGTGATTTTCACGTCGCAACAGGTTTTATTTAGCCACATGAAAATCACGTGGCAACTTCACGTGGCTGGGCAAGCATTTTCTTGTAGTGAATTTTGTTTTTATTTTTAAAATATGTATTTTTTTTAAAATAATAAATTATTTTAGTATTGTTAATTTTATTTTTCTTATTTACATTTTTATTACATTTTAAAAATAAAAGTGTGCATGCCAAATCAATACTCGTGAAAACACACACATAACACAACAGTACCATGTGAACGCACGAGTAACAATATCATAATTCGTGCGAACACACGAGTTATATATATCAATCACGTTTTTTTACTAAATCAATCACATTTTTTTTAGTATTAAATCAATAACATTTGTTCAACTAAATCAATTACTACATTTTTTTCTAAAATTTATGATTGCTTAATTATATTAAAATTATTGATTATTAGTTGTCAACAAGCTATTTTTTAGGATGGCAAATATATATTTTTTAACATAGAGATTCAAACATCATTTCAATAATTTAATTTTAACGGGAACATGAATTTATTGATCAAAATATTAAATTTTAACGAGAACATGAATTTATTGGTCAAAATATTAAATACTAACGAGAACATGAAGTTACAGATCAAAATATTGAATATTAACGGGAACATGAAGTTAATGATCAAAATATTGAATACTAACGAAAACCTGAAGTTACTGATCAAAATATTGAATATTAATAGGAACATGAAGTTAGTGATCAAAATATTAAATGTTAACGGAAACATGAAGTTATTGATAAAAATATTGAATATTAACGGGAACATGAAGTTATTGATTAAAATATTAAATATTAACGGGAATATCAAGTTACTGATTAAAATATTTAATATTAATGAGAATATGAAGTTACTGATCAAAATATTTAATATTAACGGGAGCATGAAGTTGCTGATCAAAATATTGAATATTAACGGAAACATGAAGTTACTGATCAAAACATTAAATATTAACGAGAACATGATGTTAGTGATCAAAATGTTGAATATTAACAGGAACATAGAAACACTGATAAAATTTTTGAATATTAACGTGAACATGAAGTTACTGATAAAAATATTGAATATTAACGGGAATATCAAGTTATTGATCAAAATATTTAATATTAATGGGAACATGAAGTTACCGATAGAAATATTGATTATTAACGAGAACATGAAGTTACTGATTAAATATTGAATATTAATGAGAACATGAAGTTATTGATTAAAATATTAAATATTAGCAGGAACATGAAATTACTTATCAAATTATTAAATATTATTGAGAACATGAAATTGCTTATCAAAATATGGAATATTAATAGAAGAACTTTACAATTGGTTTAAATATTTTTTATAACAATTCCAAACGAAAAATAATATTTATATATAAAAAATATTATTCATTCAAATATTTTTATATATTAGAAGAAATATAAGTACTAATTTATTATCTTTTTTAAAAAAAAATATTTTATTTTAATTATATTTTAAGAACAAATATGTGTATCATATAAATATTTGTACGAATATGCAGATATTTCACTAGTTATTTCAAATTTTATAAGTCAATCTATGTTATCTAAATTTTATAAATTGACTCTTAAATGTTCAAAGGATTATAAATTGGTACTTAATTATAAGTTTGGATGATTGGTCCATTTAAATTATTTTAAAAATATAAGTTAGCGTGTTTGATTTTAACATTTAATTTATTTTTTATTTTGAAATAGTCTTTAAATATTAATTTTTTATTTTGTTTTAAATTTTAAAATGAAAATCAGAAAAAGATTAGTAAAATCAACAGATTTTAAACACGTAAAAAAATTTGCACCAAAATTCACAGACAGATTTTAAATTTAAAAACAAAAAATTAACATTTAGAAACAATTTAAAAAGAATACATATTAGAGACTAAAAATAGAAACATACTGACTTGCTTCAACTATTATAACTATTGTGGTTTGTAAAAGATACGAAGAACCGTGTTGCAATTATAGATGATATATAGGGGGGGCAAGGGATTATAACAGTCTTGTTTTCAGTGCAATTCAGGTTCTGCACCAAAGACTACAACAGCTACTCACAGCCTATCGCTGATGGTGCCGACACATTGCTGAGGTTCAGTGACCATTTGACCTACTAGAACTGTGCTGTAGAAAATAGAAATGGAAAACCGACCTAGTGGTTTTTAATTTTTAAGTACAAAAGACAATTTCTATGTTGTCAATTAGAAGTGGAAAAGCAAACACTCTCAATATTTTATAAAAAGTCCAACCAATATGTATTTTGTTGCATCAAAGAGGTTGAAACAAATTAATCTAATAGAAAATTGGAAAACCGAATTGAAACAAATTAAAATCATAAAAAAATATATTTAATTCAAATATATTTGAGTCATTTTTTAAAAGAGATGTGCGGTTCGATTTAGTTTATGATTTACATTTTGGAAATCAAATCAAAACAAATTAAATTGTATTATGTTATAAAATTTTATTAATCAATATTTTTTTAATTCTTTAGAGAAATAAACATGTATTATGTGTATTTTATCATATTTTTTATATGATATTTATTTTAATTTATAAATTATAAAAAATAAAATATTATTCATTTATAAATATTATTTTCATAAAATATATTTTATTGTATTCTTTATATAATATTTATTTAAGAATGTAATTTTATGTAAATCATTCTTTAAATTTAAATAAACTATAATATATATTTTTATATATTAAATTATAAACTTATTTTGATAATTATAAATTTTGTTAAGATAATGTATGAATGATTAAACGCAAAATTATAATATATATAAAAGGAATGTTATAAAAAGATTAAGTGATAGTGAATTGTTAATGAGATATATAAAGATTTAAAGAGGAAATAGAAGAAATTGTGAAACATAAAATAAGTCTCAACAATCACAATCTACGTCGCAACAGCCGCAGTCGCAATAACCGCAACTGTGTTACTGCCGTATCTAAAGCATGTCCTTTCCTTTGTCTAATGCAATAAAGGCAGCAATGGGTGCAGCAACAAAACACCTAAATGCAGCATTTTTATCATCAATGCGTCCCCATTGTGAGCGCCAACAACTTGATTACCATCTGTGACAATGTCAGTAGCTCGTGACCCGGCAACTATGACACTACTAGTTCGAGCAAACAACTTTGTCACAGATCGTAATGTGCTAACACATTTTCAACCGTATTTCAACAGAAGTATTAGATTTTAGAAATATCATGACCTCAAAGGATTTAGATTTAAGAGAGGAAGAAAAAGTGATAGTTTCAGAAGCATTTCCTCTAATATCAGTTGGTTTGAATCAAACTAGTTGGATTCAATGCATAACTAACTTTGTTTTAGTGGTGATTGGATTCCAGCTCCTCTTTCTTTGATATATAAAAGTAAAATTATTGATATTAGCTTTGATATTGAGATCCTTCAAATCGACTTAAAAACACCCACTATTCTAACAAAAAAATAAGACATAATTTGCAATAATTTAGAGTTAACAAAGCAAAGAAAAAAGGGAAACATACTAATTTATCATAATATGAATTGTAAGCAATCTCATTGTAATTAATAACATCAAAAGACAAAGGTTCCATGTTTACAAATAATCAAAAACTATAAAACTTAAAGAATTATAAAATGTTGTGAAATTGCATATTTCAACATAAACTAATACTAATTATCATCAAGAGCGATGAATAACTGAAAAATCAAATATTTTATTCTCTTCATTCCATTTGAAACCAATTTCATCTCCTTTCTTTAAGTTTCTCCTGACTACAAAATCTGTGATCCATGTTTTCTTTAAGGTCGTATCTTGAAAGTAAGAGAAAGGGGAAATCCAGTGTCAACATCAAACACTTCAACTTCGACTCCATCACTCTCAGCTTTAGCTTTATCCACCACAGGAACCACCCACTTCTTAGCCAAATCATTATTTAACAAAAGTCTACAATTATCATCAAGATCACTGTTTGTTTGCACCTTCTTGATCATCCATGGATCACCAACATTGGTTGAACAATCTGAATTTGTCCCAACAGCAACAACATTGCATGTGCTGTTTGTTGTTGAAGTTGAAGCACCGGTTCCTTGTGGGACGCATTTTTGTTTCTTGATGATTTGTGTGTCATCGAGACAACAACAAAGACTTAGAGTAAGATGGAGACAAACATTGTTGATCTTGTTCTTGTTGGTTTCTTGGTGTCCACGTTTCGGTTTATTGCCTACTTGTGTGGTACATGAACATGAACCAGAACCAAGTGTAAGATGAGGACAAACAGAAGAAGAAACACACGGTGAAGATGAAGATGAAGATGAAGATGAATGGGATGAGGTAGCCTCGAAGGAATTCGATGAGGTAGCCATGGATCAAAATCAGAGGAAACAGCGCGCAGCAACAAGAAAGTTATAGTCAAAGTGTTAAATAATTATTTGTATTTATAGCTAATAAAGCCTAACGGATACTTAATTCTTTCCTTTTGTATTTGTAGTGCAAGATTAGATTAGATTTTATTTTATTAGTTCTATTAAATCTTTATGAATCTTATATTTTTTTTATTGCAACTTATTGCACGGATTGGCTTTTAAGATTACATTTTTTTTTTATATTATGAATTTATTTATATAATAAATGAATTTTTATAAAAAAATTCCAATAATTAATTAATATTTTTAATTAAAAAAATACGTTAATTTTTTTATATAGATTTCATAGATAAAAAATATATTTATATTTTTTTAATTGAATAGTCTAATAGCTCGCGTCCCTGATATACAATAACCAATTAAATTGTCTTAATAAACGAAGGTGTATTTACATTTAATTCTATTAAATTTGAGTTAAATATTCAAATAAATTTATATCTTTAAAGAATCTTATTAAATCATAGATTTGGTTTATTAAGATATCATTCCGACACTCTTTAACCAAATTTTTATGAATCTTATTTTCTCAAATCTAAGTAAATAAATATATATTTTTTAAAATAACTAAATCATCACTGTCAAATAAAATCTTACAAAATTATACTATATTTAACTTATGAGCAAATAATTTTTTTTGTATTAAACTTTTAAATAAATTTATATTTAAAATTTTTATCAAATAATTTCAATTATTATTATTATTATTATTTTATTATATTTTCTTTTATAAAATTTATATTTATATTATTGTTGTTTCTAATTAAATAATTTCGGACAAAGTATCAAAATATTGTTTTCAATGCATGTATCTCTTAAGATAACTAATATTTCTTTTCAAGAACTAATAACTCCCTATAGATATTGAGATGCATAACACATTGAAAGGTATTGTTTAATTTTTATATTTTTTCGATAACTAATGGAAAAATTTCATGAGAAAAAATTATAACTTTATTTTTTAATTTTCACATGAACATTTATAAGATTTAATTCTTTGCATATAGCGAAACTCATAATTTACTTTTGGATAAAATGAACTCTTCATATTTGATCTGACCTGATCAGAAGGTTTGGACCGTCACGGCTTACTCCGAGCTGAAGGCTTTTTGAACGAGGAGGGGGGGTACCTGCAAGGCACTCCGATGCTAAAGTCAGTGGGAGTACGAGCAGATAATAGAGTTGAGGTTAGAATGATGAATACCTGACCCTCTGGAAACAGAGGGTATTTATAGCTCCCAGCGCTGGGCCAAGGTTCCTTCATTGGGCCGGGCGAATTTGGCCCAATAGAGGAACTGCCAGGTTCTACGTGGGTAGTGGGGACCAGCACGTGGTCCCTTTCCTGGATGTGCTGCGTAAAGTGCGGGCGGACGGAGACGCGGTCTTTCCGGAGTATCGTTGGGGCAACGGTGGACTGAGTCTGCCCTAGCCAGGTAGCTCGAGACCATGTCGAGCTGCGCAGCACGGTACCGAGCTCGACGCCAAGACCTCGAGCTGAACAGCGAGTGTCGAGCTGGACGTCAGGACACAGAGCCGGACGGCAGGGTGTCGAGCATGACTTCACCGCGTGGGCTGGCCGTCGAGATGTCGAGGTGGACATTAGGGTGTCGGGCATGGACGCGATCCCCTTTGCCCAGTGTGGTCCTTAGTGAGTCCCTTTGGACTGGGCCTTAGTAATGCTTTTGGGCCTGTCGGGCCCAGTCCAGAACAGGAGCCCCCCAAGTCGTGGTTCCTTTGCGAGGAGCCATGACTTGAAACCAAGTTGTTCCGTCGCTGAGGTCTCGTGCCCGGGATGGAGGTGTGGACCCTCGAGGGGTCTCCTCGTGTCGTGCTCGGAGACGTCCTCGGTGGTGGATGCGTGGAGGATCCGTACCGGGCGCGTCGGTCGAGCACACGAGGCATCTTTCGGGAGTTGTGCCGCCACCCTAGGGGGGTAGGGCCATCATTGCGTTGGGAGCAGTGCGTCGAGGAGATGGAGTTCGTGGTTGAACGAGGTGACGTTTGGTATTCCACGTCATCGCTATAAATAGGGTCCTTGGGCCCCATAATACGTTTTCCGTTCTCCGTGCTCTCTCCGTTGCCGCTCTCAACACTCTCTCCAGTTGTGACTTCCCGTCTCAGATTCTTCATTTCTTAGCCAAATCCCAACTTTGATCCAAGTAAGTGATCTACTTTCCTCATTTTTCCGTTTTAGAATGCATGATTCCTGGAATTTGTAGATGTTTTAGGATCGTGCGCGTGGGATTAGCCCGGTAGATTCGTGTTTTGCCCGACATATTCATGTCTAGGACCGGCAAACGCATACTTGTGGCCGACACATTCATAGTTTTAGGTGAAAAACTTCAGAGCTGCCCGGGGTCTTCATGATCCGGGCGCCTAATTCATGACCGTGCCCGGTATGTTCATGGTCGTGGCCGTGGGCTTCATAGTGCGGCTCGCCATGTCCATACCTCGGGTCGACATGCTTGGAGAGTGGCCGCGCGGTTGGTTTGAGGAAGAACACTGGGTTCAGGAAAGTCGGGGAGACATCCACTTGTAAAAACGGACTTGTGTAGTCGTGTATGGACGACATGATTATGTCGAGCATAGGACTTCGTGCTCAACTGATTGGTTTCCCGTGCTCTGCAGGTAACCATGGCGGACGAGCCGAGCTCCTCCGGACGTCGTGATCGCGAAGAACAGAGTGCCGACGAGTCGGCCACCTTAATAGATACCGTGACCGACCCATTGCTGGAATGGGTGGGTGTCGAGCCTCGGGGGACAGCGTCAATATATAGCCGGGATGACCGACATCCCTTCACTGCCATTGAAGAGGGCCAAGACCAGCCCGACTTCCAGCAGAATTTCGTGGTCATGCTTCCGTCGACCAATGCAAGAATTTGCTCGGTGTACCCGAACTACAGCTTCGCGATGTATGAGATCGCGTTTAAGGACTTAGGGCTGCGGCTGCCGTTCACAGATTTTCAGACCGGAGTCTTTATGCATTTGGAGCTGGCCCCGTCCCAGCTACACCCAAACTCTCTCGCCTTCATCCGGGCGTTTGAGTTGACGTGTCTCTACTTGAGGATAGGGGCGACCATCCCTCTTTTCTTTCGGGTCTTTCACCTACAGCGTCAGTCCCGAGGAGGGAAGCACAGCTGGGTGTCCCTGAAGCAGTCGAGGAGACTGTTTAGGATGTATATGGACTCCGTGAGGGGGTTCAAGGACAAGTGGTATGTGGTACGCCCTATTACCGACTCTGCTGTAGATTCCCTCTTCGAGGAGGAAGGGCCAGTCAGCGATGATGACGGGGAAGCGATGGTGGCCGACGACGGGAGCCCCGTGTTAGGACGTCGGGCTAAGTTCCCGGTGTACTGGATGTCCCGACATTACGAGCATGGGACAGGTTATTTCCATACCGCTGTCGGGGACATGTGCCCGGAAGATCAGCGGTCGTACGAGACTCTCTGCCGGTTTGTCGACAGTTTTCATCCCGCCCAATGGGTTACGCGGGAAGGGGATGATATCCTCGACAAAGACGGTTACCCGACATTCGAGTCTCGCCCGATCGACACCAAGGCGCTGGTGGAATGTTCGACATATAGGCAGGCAGCCCGCCTGTTAGGTTGTTTGTTTGAAATTCTTTATTCGTCATTTATTTACGCGGTTTGCTCGATACTGACTTTTCCTTTACTTCGTGCAGGTACGATGGCCAGCCGACATGAAAGGCTCCTGAAATTATCAACCGGCCAGAGGCGAGGCAAGAGGGTCGTGCAGGCCCCGCAGACGACGAGAATGGGACCACCGCCAAGTCTGAACGCTCCTCAGCCGGTGAGGGTGGATTCGACGTCGAGCTCGGGAGCAGCGTCAGATCCAGAGGTCGAGGAGATTGACCCCAGCGCCGTTTTGACGCAGAGGAAGAGGACCCGCGTGGAAGGCGGTTCGACTGTCGGGGAGGATGCCGGAGCTGTTCAATCTTTTGCCTTCCCCCCTTGCTTCGAAGAGGCGGGCTTTTTCGAGCGGTTCCCTCCGACAGTGGTCGCTCATGAAGCTGAGGCCATAAAGAAGATGAGTAAGGAGGAAAGGAAGGCCTATCTGGCCGCCAGCGTGGACGGGCTGGTTAAAATGGCCGAAATGGCTCTGGTGTTATCTGAGGATGCAGGGGATGCTGCTCGCGTTGAAGAGCTCGAGCAAGAGAAGGCGGCCTTGACTGCGAGCTCGCGGAAGTTGAAGGTCGCTCTGGAACGCTCCGAGGGGATGTTCCGAGAGCAGACCGCGATACTTGATGCCGAGAGGGAGATGCTGACCTTGGAAAAGGAGAAGTCGGGGAGGTTGACTGAGGAAGGGGAGTTGCTCCGGACCGACAGGGATCGCTTGGCTGCTGAAGTCGAACGCCTGGGTAAACAGGTTGAGGAACTGAATGCTGTCCAGCAACCTGCCGAAGATGAGCCCGAGGACCTAGTGATTTTGAAGAGTCGGGCTGAGCTTATTGCCCATATCCGGCTCCTCGAGGCGGACTGCGTCGGTGCTCTGGAAGACGGGTTCAATTCTGCAGTCGACCAGCTCTCATTGCTAAACCCTGGCCTGGTCACCGAGGGTATCGGTCATACACACCGGGTTGTAGGTGGCGCGATCATTCCTCCGCCCGACTCTCCCAGCGTCGATAATGATGATAATGTGGAAGTTTGAGTAGGTTAGCGGGCCTGCGTGCCCTTGATATTTGTATTTGTATTCTTTGGGCCTGCGTGCCCGTTCATTGTATGATTTGAACACCGCCGGCCTTCTTGGTCGGTTTAATATTGCTTTGTTGCCTTCGGGCGTTTATACCTTGTTATTTATTTTGGATTTTTTGCCCTTGTATGAACTCACGTGCTTGTATGAATTTAGCTCAAGTCCCGGGCCCGAGGAGTGCCCGTAGGTGGCTTTGATTTGACGAGCGAATATGCTCGTCTCCATTTGTGTGC